AGTATTCTGTTCCAAAAAGTTTCTCAGGACAATGTAAAAAAAATCATTAAGAGACTGAACTCACATAAGACTCCTGGACCTGACGGTATTAAAGTAGCTGATCTAAAAGGTTGATACTGGTCAATCCGTTGATGCAATCTACACAGATTTCAGTAAGGCCTTTGACAAGGTTGATCACTCTATTTTACTTGTCAAACTCAAAAGGATAGGTATAGCAAACCCTTTGCTGGACTGGTTTAAGTCATATCTTGCCAATCGGTTGTCAACTGTTGTTGTTGATGGTTATGCTTCTGAGCCGTTTTTTGCCTATACTGGCGTACCTCAAGGATCTCATCTTGGGCCTTTGTTGTTTAACATTTTCATCAACGACATTAATAATTGCTTTGAGAATTCTAAGTTTTATTTGTTTGCTGACGACCTAAAGATCTTTAGACCTGTCTCCTCAAATTCTGATGCAGAATTCTTACAGGAAGACTTAAATAACTTGACATTATGGTGTCGTAACAACAGTATGACACTAAATGCTGACAAATGTCATGTTACAAAATTTTCTAGAAAGAAAACATATCTTGCAACAACATATTACATTGATGGTCGTATTCTGTCTGAAGTTCCTCACCTACGCGATTCAGGAGTTACGCTTGACAATAAGCTTTGTTATAATATCCACATCGATAATGTTGTCAACAAGGGTTTTAGGACTCTTGGCTTCCTCTTCCGTAACTGTAAGCAATTCAGGGATACTCGCACTAAAATAATTATTTACTCAACTTTGGTACGAAGTATCTTGGAATACTGCAGCGTAGTATGGAATCCCCACTTTAATATTTACTCACACAGAATCGAAAGGATACAAAAGAGATTTCTTTTGCATTTATCTTACGATCATAACCTAGTTAAAACTCTTAGAACTTACGAAGATAGGCTAAATTACTTTAAGCTTCAGCCACTTTCGAATTGAAGACAGCTCCTTGACCTTATTTTCTTGTATAAGTTGGTGAATGGCGTAATTGATAGTTCTTATTTACTAGCCAAATTAAATTTTCGTACCCCATTGAAGTCAAAAAGGCCGTTGTCTTTTATACCATTCGTAGAAAAGAGCACACGTTCTCGTCAAGCGCGCTATTCTCCGATTAATAGATTAATGTTGAGTTATAATGCTATATATAAATTATCACATAAGAATTGTATTAGTGCCATAATGAATACTGATAATAAACATAAAGATAGAAAAGTTGATATTGACATATTTTCAGATAATCTTTGGAAATTTAAAAGTGATTTATTACATTTATATACTTCAAATAATTGTAATTCACAGTAAAATTATATTTTTTTTCTTACTAGTAATATAAAAGCTAAATTGTGATTAAGTAATGATTGTATATTATGATTTTTTTATTATTTTATTTTTGTTATGTTTAACGTTTGCATGATTTAATTTAAATAATTATATAATACTAAATTCTGATATATTTATTGATCTCTTACTTCTTGTATTCAATTTAATTCACTGCATATGTCTACTTGTGTCTATTTTTTTTATGAAATGTGTGTAACACCTGTAATTAAGTCAACACTTAGTTTTTATGATTTTTTGCAAAAATATTATGCTTTTGTTAGTGTATGTCTTGTTGGTGTTAAATAAATAAATAAAATAAAAAGTCGTTAATAAACATATATCCTTACCCATTGCCAATTTAATTAACCGCAGTATTGCGCCTGTAGAATACCCAGACGACTTCAAAATAGGTTGTGTGAGGCCTGTTTTCAAAAAGGGCCAACACGACGATTACATGTTTGATGTCAAATAAACTTAATTAGGTCTAAACAAGTAAAAAAAGCATAAAAAAAACATTACTTTTACACATGGCGGATGGCACAATAGGCGTGTCATTTTTGTCTGTGGCGCTTAACACGCCCGGCGTGTCGTGAAATATTTGTTCGCCACCACAGGTAAAAGTTGTCGAAAATTGGTGCCGCAACGAATCGGTTAAGTCGTAATAATGCAGACTGTCAGCATTTGAATTTTATTGTATTTTATAATTGCTATTTGAGTGACAATATAGCACATAACCCACCTGTTGGTACGTGGATGCTGTGGCCTATAAATATCTATATCTACCCTTAATTAAGAATCAAAATGCATATGCGTTGTCACCCCTGAGGACTAAGATGGAATGCCTCGTTTCCAGTAAAAAGGGTCTTCGGTTCTCTACACATACCATACGAAACACAGCAGCATTAAGCTGCTATTCTACGCTGTTATTCAGTGAGAGCGGGGTCCTTCCCGGATCGAGTCCACCCATTCGTACTACAACTATACTACTAATTTACCTATGGCTGTGTACTTTCTACCTATAGCTGTGGCGTGGCTCTACCACTCATTCGTGCTACAGCCATTATATAGCTGTAGCATGGCTCTACCACGTAAATTGATATACATTATGTAATTTGATTGCATGACGATGACAAAATATTTGCTTATCGATAGATCGACTAATAATGAATGCTCATTTACAAACGTAACAACTTTATCTGTACTACCATGTTTTATGCAAATAAAGATTTAAATAAATAAATAAAATAAATAAACCATTCATTTAGTCCTCGTACTAGTGAAAATAGCTAAGCTGCCAAAATAACGCCTATTTCAACAATATCTATAGGTAAAAATAGAAATTTACAAACTTTAAATTACATAGAACAATATCATACCACAAATCATTGACGTCATAATAAATATGCTTCGGATGCCAATCCATAAGTTTTATGCTTTTAGTAACAGTTTTAGTACAGAGTCAGTTGCAAACCTGTAAATTAATAAATATTTGATATTTTGTCAGCGATTTTCATTGTTATATACAGATATAGGTAAAAAAAAACATCGATAAGTATTATCGTCAAGGAACTATAGAATTTTATTGTTTTTCAAAAATAGATCATTTAAAGCCAAAGATGATACTAATTACGTTTAAGTGACAGATTTTTAAGTGCCTATATTATCAATTAGTTTTAATTTTTTTAATATAAAGTGAAAATCCCCTTACTTGTGGAATGCTACTATACTTCACTTCTGATAACGAGTTTTACAAATCACGCTCACTATCAACACTTTATATTATATTACTGATATGAAACATAATCGAACTACACAACATAAACTCTTTTTCTCGTTTTAAGCTTTAAAATACTCTTATTACCATATACTCAAACGCTACTCAATTTTTAAGTCTCGTGCTGTCTCTATCACTTTAAGTCAAAGTGACTGTGTCACCAACAGGGCCCGATCGAATTTTCCGGCCGGGTATTTGCCCAGAGCGGCAAAAAATAAGGGGCGGCAAAATGGACTTATTCCTGTCTTCCAACCTAGCCATTAGCCATCCACCACCCAAGTCGGCAGGTTGAGAATTTTATGTGCCATCTTCCTTACTACTTAAGGTTGGATAGTTGAAATATTTAAGTATTTTACTTAACTTAATTGTTGAAAGAAGAAGTAGTGGTCCGCAAAAAGTACCGATACTTAAGTATCGATACTTTCATTTCGACACTAAGTATATTTGGACACGATACTTTTGTTTCGATATTTTAGAGGTATCGATACTTTTATAAGTACTCGATACTTTTAACAAAATTTGAGTCACATCATTAGATTTGGGTCATCGGAGTAGGGGATTATCCTTCTATAGACAATAACTTGTGTTTAGAACGTGTGTTGCCAGTTTCTCGTGATTGTTACCTATTTAGTAGATTTATTTTAATCAATTAAGTAAAAAATGATTTAATAGAGTTTTTAATTCTGATTTACTTTTTTACTTTTGCTCTAATTTATTTTTGTACCGACAATTTAATACGCCAAAATTTAAATTTAGTTAGTTTGATACCACTATCGTCTCAATGGTGATAAGTTCCGAACTCCAAGTTCCGAAATTTCGCGGATAATATTTGATATTACGGATATTACTCAATCGGAAGCCTAAAAATAAATTGAAAAGTACTCGATACCTAACAATATCGATAATTTTCTCGGTATCGATAAATCTGATACGATACTAGTATAGAGTAAAGTATCGATACTTTTGAAATTTTGTGGAACACTAAGAAGAAGCAATACCTAAATAGGAAATAAGGGACCAACTAGACTAGAACTTAGAAACTAGAATCATCCGAATTTTCTGCCGATTTTACATATCTGAACTGGCAACCCTTTCAGTCTGTTTACGTTTGATGGGGATTTCCCTCAAACTTTCGGAGCAATACCCTTTAGCTACATTCGTACAACGCGACATTTTAGGAGAATCCTTTAAGTATCATATTATATAAGCAAAAGATTCTACTATTTTTCCATTACTTATTTAGAAGACTCCTAGTAAAAATGTACTGCCCTAGAGACAAGTTTTCGTCATATTCGTGAATTATGTAGCGGTTAATAAGTGAGTCATAATTAAAATGTTTTATCTATTTGTGTGAAATATATGCTAAGTCTACAAGTTGGTTCTATTCTTAAATTTAAAAGTGACGCGATTTTTAGTGGGGCGGATTAATCATATAAATATTGAAGCGTGCATGTCATTTTACTACGTAAGTGTCTCTCTCTCTGTCTTATAAAGTCTGTCTTATGTCTAATGTCTAATGTCTTAAAAATCTGTTTTATAAAGTAAATTGTGTTACGTAAAAAAATCCTAAAAAAATACCTATTTAAAAAGATAGACAGGTTACACATTAACATTATTGTATTTTAAAGTGGCGCTGCTAGTACTATATATACGTACAGTTATTTATTATGACACGTTGTGCTAACAAAAAGAGACAAATGATAGGGCACACCTATCGTTAGAAAAAGATGAATATACATCATTAGTTACCTATTGATTACTGCTGAGCGCTCATTGGCGCGAGCACGTGACTTACCGATACGGGGGAGAATAGGGAAAGTAAACACACTAGCCAGCGTCAAAGTTTATATTAGCGGTTAGTGTTGAAATAACAAAACCAATTATGAACAAAACATCTATATTCAAAATATTAATTATAAACAATCAAATTATGAAATAATATCGACTCAGTCAGTGAACTGTGGTGTTATGTGCTATTATATTCCCTCAAACAAACTTAACTTATTCCTTTTTTGCCTTTTGTAGTCACATTTCAAATTTGCATTATTTTTATGCGCGAAATGTATGTGAACATTAGTGAAATGTACATTAGTGAACTTCTCTATAATACCGCGTATAAGGTGTAGTCTGTGATTATAAGTCGGATAGTGTTCTAGCGAATGAGAGTTTAAAGACGAAACCACGTCATTACGGTTTAAGAATGACTTTAAGATTCGGTTTTTTATAATTGCAATCTCCTTGGGATCGGGTAGTATAATATGGCCCTTTTGCTTAATATGGTTTTTTATAATCGCTTCTGACTTTTGGCAAATTTGAAATACCTCCTCACTTGGGATACATAGTCCGCCCATGTTTTTGAGAATAATTAATTTGTGAAACCACAGTTTTGTCAGAGAGCAGACTGTTATTACATACATCACATTTAAGTCATTTAATAAGATTTCTGGACACCTAACCTGATACGTAACCAATAATCTGGTCGGCGGTTTTTTTGACATTTTCCCTATTTAATAGAGTTGAAAGCATCTCAACATTTTCCTATATTTTTAGAGTGTCATCAGTTTCTTTTCCGCTTCGATTTAGTTCTACGTGTGAGTACAATTCCTCGTCGTTCGATCTAATTACCGTAGAATTAATTTTTTCAACTGCGGATGAACACGTCAACACAGGAATATCTTCCAGTGGTACGCAATTTCCTAAAAACGAGGACCTCATTTCCATATGCTGAAGGATTTTTTTAAAAATCCCCTTTAATTGCATTGCATTGGGGTTATTATTATAGCCTCCATGTCGCCTTATTGCACCGAACAACAATTCAATGTGGTCTCGAGATAGCCTGTAAGTCGCAATGTATTGCAAGCGTTGTCCTTCCACTAAAGTGGAGTATTAGTGTTTTAAGCTTTCTATGCATACTAGAAAGCCCAAAAATCCTGTTTTGTTTTTGGTCTCGACAATGTTTTTCTTTACAACTTTCATTTGGATTCGTTTGCGATAAATACGTCTATATTTAATCCATATTTTTAGTCCCAGTATGTACTGTTTGGCCTTTTCAAGGTAAGCGAAAATTTCATCATCGTTCTTTATCGAAAGTGGTTTCTTCAACCCATATAAACCGGAAGATATTGTGTTAAATATGTCGAACAAATTGTTAAATATAGTTATGAACTCTGTCGTACCTTCAGTGTTTACAAAAAGAGAAGACGTCAAAATCTCATTGCATAACTTTAGTGCGTCCGCAACACTCATGCTCATAATTTGAGTTGCCAGTTTTACCTTCATTATCTCATTCCGGAAATGAATGTGGCGAGGAGTAATTTTGTTCGCAAAATTCAGTCCAACGTTTTCTTGAAGCTTGACTAAATTAATAAGCAACTGCCAACGTATCTGTTTTCCACTTGTGTCGTATATAAGTCTTTTAGCTTCAAATGTATTTCGAACTAATTTAATCATGTGGCAAGCATCAAGCATGATCGCCATCTCCAAATCACAATCAGGATGTTTAAAAGTAGTTTTCAGACTGCCCGGACGATTTAAGTTACAACCTAATAAATTGACTGCGTTTAAATTTGACGAACAGCCATTGAACGTGATAGCAACTATATCTACCCTGACTTGGTAGCATTCACTCAAACATGTTTTCAATAAACTTGCCCGAGTTTCTGCTGACAACCCATTAACCATAAAATATGCCACAGGGATTTTCCAGCTTTCGTTTAAGCAGACTAATGTAAACATATAAGCTTGAGTCGCTATTTCATATAATTTCGCAGAACCCGTGCCGTAATCTACAATGCCTGCAGTTTTCTTTCCAGTCCAGGTGGTTTGGTGACGAAGAGCCATCTCGTCAGCAACTAACGTACGCAATATCCTTTGCCCACTAATTTTGTGTTTTTTCTCTAGAACGTTCATAGCTTGTTTGTTAAAACCAGGATCACCAGAAGTATTCTCATACCATTTACCTATGATACGAGGATGTGGCAAACATCCATTAAATATATTTCTAACATATTTATAAGCAGCTACAGAATAATAATGTAATGTAACTGCAAATTTTCGTAATGCTGGTGTGAATTTTTGGCGAAAGCCTAAATTTGCTTTTCTGAACCAATCTATTAGCAAAATCAACGGCTTCAGCTTTAAGACTTAGTTCTTTTATCTGATGTATTGTAAAATATTTTTTTCTTTTTGAGCTCTGACACAATTTGCTTTAAATTGTTACACTTTTCTTTGACTCTTTTGTTTTTCCTAATTAAATTGTAATTGTTTAACTGGAGCCAGCGTTTCTCCAGAGAAAATTTTCTAAGTTTTGTTTTCAAAAATGTTTTTCGAGGAGTATCAAAAATTGAATCCCCGTCGGATACAATAACTCTTTGCAAACTTGACGGTGATGATAATATGGTATTTTGTTCTTCTTTCTGAAACAAAAAGAATTTAAATAAAATTTCGATCATCATCATCACATCATAGGTGGTGAATCTGAAATCATCTATTGTACTCGTCATTCTGAAAAGCTTTTTAAATTATGACTTTTTGAAATTCCAAAATTGTTTTTACTTTTTCATACAAAATGACTGAAAAGGTTAAGTATGGAACCATCTAAAAAGATGCTAACAATGTTATGTTAACAAAAATAAAATTACGTCACATCTTGCGGATATACTATTACAAAATTATGCTAAACCCAAAAATATTGGATGTACGGATGTAAGGTTTGTAGCTAAACCTGTTATCTCAGCATTGGATATACCGAGTGTAAACAAATTCTTTAAGTGACGCAAAAACTAAGAAACTACACAATGTTATCATATTGCTGGAGACTTACTTTAATTACAGGAACTGCTGTTTTTTTCAGTCTTCGTAAATTGTTTTTTGTAATATAAACATCACTTGTTAGGAAATGCTCGGAGCACACTTTAGAATAAGTAGTAGGCATCCAATCGTCTTCATGTCTTTGATTCCTAATTACTTTTAACCATTTTTCTTTCATTAATCAATCTTTAGGTAATCTAAAATGGAAAGAAATAAGTTATATTCTATTCGCTTCATTATTTTCTAGACAATACATTCTATTAGTGTATTTAATATTAGAAAATAAGGTAGGCATATAACTGCTTGCATACACACATCACCATTGAATAGCCGCCTTAAGAAATAAATTTAATTTTTAGGTCTGGATTAAACATAAATGCGATGGTAAAATTTTCCCCAACTTCCCCTTGCAACGGCCGCCATTAGACCGCGCTAACATTGTCTCTTTCACTCTCACGCATAGAACAGATTACATCTCGCTCTTTACCTTACACGTGTTAAACAACAGTCAAATGAAATTACATTTAATGTTTTAATAAAAGAAAAACTGTACTTACGAATGAAATGAGACGTTTTTCTTGTATCTAACAGTTGCCGTGTAATTTGTGCACCACCTAAAAACGCACGAAGGCATTTTTGCCACGAATAACCACAAGACTAACGAGCTGTAGCGATGTATAGCCGCGACGCAAGAGTGTGCCCGACTGAATGCGAGTCGGGCAATTACCTGACTATCGTATTGCCATTCTAGAGAGAGTACGACGTATCTATACTTTTAAAAACACCTTAGATAAAAATACGTAATATTGCTAAACCTTGCTAAAAAGTGTACTTACTTTTGGTTCCGTAAGGTAAATAGTAAAAAAGTTTTAGTGCCGATTTCACCATCTCCGGTTAGCCTATTTGTCAATTAAGTTTCCAGTTTTTTGGCAGTTGTTGTATGAGTTTGACAGTTTTTATTTGACAAATAGGCTATTCGGGAACCACTCAAGACTTTGACAGTTCATTAAACCAATTAGTCTTCTCTCTCTACTATGGAGTGTAGAGAGAAGGAGGACCATCTCTATATAAGAAAAGTGTCCCTAAAAACGCGTCCAATAAGGGTGGCGCTGCAGTAGTATAGGATAAATTAAAAAAAAGCGCCAAAAGTAAAGACCCTCCACCCCAGCCTGCAAAATAATGATATTTGTAATAAAAAAAAATACTAGTCGACGTATATTTAATAGCACATTACGATTATACTTGTATTTGTAATTGCACACTCTCCAATTTTTATAAAAAAATGAAAAAGTAAATTATGGTTTTTACTAATACTGCAATATCGATATCTCCGTAAATAAAGTATTTTTCTAATTGCACATATCTCGATTGTAATTGCACAATAACGTACGTTGTTATTGCACATACTTATTTAGTTACAAAAATTAATAAAACTGTTTGATATCATAGTAAATAATCTCTTATTGAAATTTGTTTTATTTTAATTAATTAATTTTTATTAGGGCAGATAACAAATAAAATAGGTTAGGTTCATCTTATGTCAAAGAATCGAATTGATTGACCCCGACTCCACCTGGTACGAGTCTGTCCTACCCCTAAGAGTGGTTATATAGAGCCGGAGGCGCGTAGGGGGAGCAGCCTCCGCCTGCTGTAACAAATCGTAGGCATCGGATGATCCGGAGCGAAGGCGAGGAGGGATGCCTGCGATTTGTTACGCAAAGGCGTAGAGGCTGCTCTCCCCGCAGCGCCAGAGACGTTGCAGTCTCAAAATAGATACAGAAATATAAATTTATAATTCATTATGTTCTTTTATTCAGCGCTGTTATAGGCAATCCAAAAAAATACCTCAAATAAACCTCCCCCCCCCCCCCTAAAAGAGCAACATTCAAATTTTCCCGCCACAAAAAATTGCAGGGGCTGACTATAGATGGAGCTAGTGGGTGTATATTAAATTTATTTTATTTTGTATGAAGTTGGCGTTCATCTCCGCTAGGAGTAATAGTGTTCTGTGGTCCATGGCATCTCCACCATAGAGAACCTGAACAATGTCTCTTGTAGAATTTCTAACTGTCGAATCGTAGTGCAGGCAAAGGTCTTCCAAACTCTGCACCAACTTTCTCTGCATGTATCCAGTTTCAGCTGTTTCCACATCAGTATCCACAGAAATAACAAAAAAAAAATACATACTGCTTTTCATTTCCTTAAAATCAAATATTCTGAAATGGATTGAAACATGTTGTGTTGTGGTTAAAAAGCAGAATGACTTATGGCCCGTTTTCATTGATGGTATGCACGATGCCCGTCGTCTGCTGCGTATAGCGCATATTGGCGGCGACCGTCAATTTTACTTAATTATTAATTTTTGTAACTAAATAAGTATGTGCAATAACAATACGTTATTGTGCAATTACAATCGAGATATATGCAATTGATTGGCACTCTGTGCAATTAGAAAAATACTTTATTTACGGAGATATCGATATTGCAGTACTAGTAAAAACCATAATTTACTTTTTGATTTTTTATAAAAAATTGGAGAGTGTGTAATTACAAATACAAGTATAATCGTAATGTGCTATTAAAAATACGTCGACTAGTATTTTTTTTATTACAAATATCATTAGTTTGCATGCTGGGGTGGGGGGGGGGGGGTCAAAAGTAATTAGAATAAGATGGAGAAATAAACAAGGACTGACCAATCCGCTTGGTTTTGTACACAGTTTTGTACTACGTAAATAGTTGAAAGAACAATGGCAGACTTTCATACATAAAATTAGTTGAGAAGAAATGGTAGCGTCTATATACCAAAAATATCTTAAAATGTTAAGCCTCAGTCCTTTAATAACTCTGTCAAAGAATTTTGCACTGAGAAGGCTTCAAAAAAAATATATTTACATTTGAACTTTTTAGGTTATGTCCTATGTCACTTGGAAAAAGTCATGCTTCCTGTGGTTGTTCGATGTTAGCTTAGTACACAATACATATATGAGAGTTTTTAGATTATTGTATCTCTATTATATATTTTCATACTATAAATGTATATTTTTGTGGCATGGCTCCAGGTCATTTGTATCATATTGACCATAGAAGTATAAGGCTAAGAACCGCAATAGGCGCACGCAAAGTGAAGCCATTTCAAGTTAGCCTTTAAAGGCTAAGTACGACTTTTGACGCGTTAGTACTCGAGTCCACGTAGTCATGGAAACAGCTCGCACATTTTTTCAAAAAAATGACGTACTGTACTGTGAAAGGGTGTCACAACTCATTACATAATCACGAAAAAAATGTAAAAATCTCATTTCACGGTTAACTACTGCCTAGCATCTTATATTTTTGTAAAAAACATTCATCAACACAAAATAATAAATAATAACTTTGACAGACGCCAATATAATGAAAATGTTGCTAGGCATAGTAAAATATTTTACCCCATTTTTTTCTTATTATTATTATAATTATAAAAAAATGCATATTGAAAAAAATACATACATACTGCCGATAGTCTCATTCACATATAAATAGGTATTTTTATTTGCCAAATATTTTTAGGGTTCCCCTTTGCCACGAAAAAAATATGTTGATTTTATTTTATTTTGATAATGTGCAGTTGTTTTTATCTTTTTATGGTATGTGTTTTAGGATAAATAACATAGCCTATGATTATTTTTTTTATTCTTATTTACATATATTTAACATTTTTAGTTCGATTCTTTTATGTATCTAAAAAAGATAACATTTCGAGGATAGCGTCATCAAAGCGGCAGTTGTTTAGAAAACATTTGCAGTTTCAGGGTCATTAAGAGACATTTTTTTAAGTAATTGGGTATAATTAATTTTATATTTTTTAATAAATATTTTTAAATTCATGTTTTATTTGAATAGTTATCTCCTTCCGAATCTTATTTTGTTTTAATGCAAAACATAATATCCAATAAAGTAATAATAGTAATCACTTGAAGTTGACCGCACTCTTAAGTCTCGTGATTCCTTCTAATATTATATCCATTCTGTGAAAGTTGTATCTTGTAACCTTTACGTTGAAACCTATTTAAATTAAATATATCACGTAGATTCTTAGAATGGCAAGAATTGAAATCAGTGTATGCTTTAATATGCGGGTGAAGCCGCGGGCCACAGTCGAAGTTAGTACGGAATTACTAATGAATAAATATCTGACAGCTAAAATGATTATCTGACAACTATTCACTTGTTAAATTTAAGTGGGACTGGATTGGAAAAACTGGAAGAAATAGACATAGGCATTTTCCTCCTCCATTTCTTCCACTTCTCTATTTATATCATAGAATAAGGCCATTGAGTATTATATAAAAACTAATATTCACAAATAGTATAACATTTTATGGAAGATAAATAACAAATATTTATATAAACATACCGCTTCTAACAGAATAATATAATTACGTAATAGATTTGTTAATATAACACAAGATATTACGTATATAAATAATTTAAATATTACACAAGTTAACAAAAATAAATAATGTTACATTTTTCTCTTTGCAATAGTTAATAAATAATTATAAACGAAACCTAAATATTAATTCTATGACGATGTCTACTATTATTTTCCCCACTTTTTGGGGAAAATGTCATTAACTTGCAAACATTACTGATTTGCTTATGTGCGTGGGCAAACGTAATTACAGGGCGCTTATGCACACATTCATTGCGTTGTAGCTTCAACTTTGAACGGAATTTTGAATGTCACTATCACTCTGTGTAATTACTCTAAGATATTGACATTCTCAGAAGGGCTAGAACCCAGAGCCGTAAAGCCAGTAAAAAAAAAACAGTGACATTTTATATAAGCTAGTGTTGGCATAACATTAAATGGAATTCTTACATAGTACTATGATTGAGATAATGTATTATTGTAGGAAATTCTTTGTATGACTTATTCTCAGCCATATCACTTTTATTTTCATTATTACTGATAGTACAGTTATTACTAATAATAACTTAATATAAGAATATTTTGTATGATGTGTTGGTAGTCTTACAAAGTGTATACGAAAATAGTATAAATATACTAAATGGCAACATTTGAATAAAGTAATATGATTGAAGTTTGGCCTAAAGGTCTAGATGCCAGGCCATAAACTCCAAAAAAAATAAATATGATTGAAGTAATGCTTGAAGTCCTTCAGAAGCTCTTTAATTCCGTCCTCCATGGTGGCATTACACCGGAGGCGTGGAGCAGAAGTTCGGTGGTCTTGTTCTTCAAGAAAGGTGACAACGCTCTCTTGAAGAACTATAGACCGATTTCCCTTCTGAGCCGCGTCTACGTGCTGTTTTCGAGTCATTACGAATCGTCTCGCGCGCAGACTTGACGACTTCCGGCCTCCCGAACAAGCCGGTTTCCGAAAGGGCTTTAGCACAATAGACCACATACATACCCTTGTACAGAAGTCCGAAGAGTACAATTTGCCACTATGTCTGGCGTATGTGGACTATGAGAAAGCCTTTGATTCCGTCGAAATTTGGGCGGTGCTGCAGTCCCTTCAGCGGTGCCAAGTTGACTGTCGGTATATCGAAGTGTTGAAGTGCTTGTACAGTAGGGCTACGATGGCTATCCGAGTACAGAATCAGAGTACGAAACCTATCCAATTGCAGAGAGGTGTAAGACAGGGTGACGTCATATCCCCGAAACTCTTCACCGCTGCATTGGAAGACGTTTTCAAGCTTCTGGACTGGAAAGGATACGGTATCAACATCAATGGCGAGTACATCACTCACCTTCGATTTGCCGACGATATAGTCCTTATGGTAGAATCGCTGGAGGACCACACTATGCTCAATGACCTCGATAGTGTTTCCCAACGGATAGGTCTTAAGATGAACATGGACAAAATAAAGATCATGTTCAATGTCCATGTCACACCTATGCCGGTAGTTGTTGGGAGCACTAAGCTCGAAGTTGTTGACGAGTATGTTTACCTGGGACAAATAGTACGACTAGGTAAGTCCAACTTCGACCGAAATGTCAATCGACGGATTCAACTCGGCTGGGCAGCGTACGGGAAACTACAACACATCTTCTCGTCAGGTATACCTCAAAACCTGAAAACGAAATTGTACAACCAGTGCGTGTTGCCAGTGATGACTTACGGAACTGAGACGTGGTCCTTCACTGCTGGCCGTATGAGGAAGCTCAAGGTCGCTCAGCGAGCTATGGAGAGGGCTATGCTCGGAGTTTCTCTGCGTGATAAATTTAGGAATGAGGATATCCGCAGTAGAACCAGAGTAACCGACATAGCCCAACGGATTAGTAAGCTGAAGTGGCAGTGTGCCGGCCATATAGCTCGAAGAACCGACAACCGATGGGGAAGAAAGGTTCTCGAGTGGCAGCCTCGTACCGGTAGGCGAAGT